TTCAGTTAAAGAAACTTTTATGAGAGAGATGTAGCTGGGGGAAAAAGTTCCATATGGCACCCCCACCCAAAAGTTGTAGAATTATATTCTGATAAAGGTAGCCTTTTTGATGCCTTTATACAAGATATTTGTAAAGTTTATCCCCAAGAAGACTGTACATCTAATTAATGAAGTAAGTGGTATAATAATGTATTAAAATTATCAGATCATACTATTAATATGATTTATTAATACATAAATATTACTTTGATGATTTTTTTTTAAATTGAGTGGGGGTGCCATATGGAACTCTTACCTAACTGGGGAGTTATTATATGTTTATCTTTCCTTCGAACTCAGCTTTAGCCCTAAAAAATATCGCACTGTCGGAATGAACGTGTGGAGAGAATCAACTTGACCCATTCACGCAGTTGGAGAACACCAAATTTCGTTGATTATTATCGTCTCCGATTTTTTTTATAATTTTTGTTAAAAAAAAAAAAAGGCTACTTTGGGAGCGTATTTCTATTACTTCCTGGATCAAATGTTTTATGTTAAGTTACTTGAAAAGGCCGGTCATAAATCATACGATAAAGAAAAAGATAGCACAACTACACCTAACTGCGCAAACCTACATTACGATTCATAAAATAAATACCGAAACTGAAGGATGAAACACATGTAAGAGTAACAGAAATCTGAAATATAATTAAAACTGAAACTTAACCAAAACGACTCATTCGACCATTAAATACGATACTTATGACTTGTGTATTACTGTTAAAGTCCGAGATTAAGTTTATATGGTATGAAAGATGTGTATTATTGTGTAAAATCCGGAATTAAGTTTATATTGTATGAAAGATGTATTTTACACAATTAATACACACTAAAAGCTGCAAGTCCTCAAAACATTACATAAGTAATCCTGTTAATAAACCTGCTAAGCGCGTAACAATCTTGTTTCTCTAAAAACGGACGAGGTAAATCGCCAGCACAGGATAACAAAACAAAAAAAAAACTAAGACTAACAAGATTTTTTTTTAATCTGAAAAATACGTCTCACAGTTATGTATTTTTAGGGTCGAGTTTAATAAAAAAAATCAAAGGGAGTTACTCCCATTGTTTATGCGTGGAGAAAGAATATTGATCCCGATAAAACAAGTAAATTTATTATCAATACCAAGTACACCTGCTTCTTCAGCTCTTCAAATGTTTTCAATTGCACTTAAAATTCGATTGTGTGGTTATTTCTCCTCTGATAGTTTATGCAACGAAATAAAAATACGATTTCCTTACACCGTTCCTCCCAATTGTTTTCGCTTTGCTTAATTACCATAAACTTCTTGTTAAAGCAACCTATCTACACAGATCCAAACTAACAATTAATACAGATAATTTAATACAACGTTTTAACCAGGAATACGCAAACTCATAAAACAAAAACTTACTCTGCTTAAAATGAATTAAACATACTATTATTTGACAAGCAACAGTGTAAATTGCAAAAGTTGCAAAACGAAAATTCCATGTAAAAAATATGCATGTTCTTAAGGCTTAATGCAGATATATGCGATATAACTTATAAGACGTATACAGCTCACTAAACAACCTCAGACAATTATTTAAACTTTAATTTAAACTAAACACGTTACTCCTTGTGATAACCTAACAGTAACAACTTAAAACGTAAATTGAAAAACCATCTGGTGCTACGAGCACGATACACCATAGAGTGAATAAAATAATGTCACCGTCAAGTAAAATTGAAAGTTTTTCGTCATAAAACTGAAAAAATACGAATAATAAAAAAAGAAACCCTGTACTTAGTCCTGAAATCAATGACTAATTAGTTCTAAATTTTAAGTTATTATTTAATTAACTTAAACTTAACCTGTTAAGAGAACGATCTAGCATTTATTGCTTTTAATGTCAGAGCTTAACAAGTTACCAAGTTAAATGTTCCTAGGGTATGGCTGTTTATCACGGTGTTACTGTTTAGGCTTAATATATAATAATAATCTGAATATCGTGAATGAATGTCTACATTTCAAATTCGGTTTAAGCTTAAATAATTTTCTTCAAATTTTATCTTCATAACACTAATACTAATAATAATATGGTGACTAATAACGTTAATAAAAAATTGGAACATTAAGGTTAGTATTATTCATTAGGGCCGTAGGAAGCGGTAAGGTCAGTCAGGCCATGGCCTTGACCATTATTTCATGGCATGTATTAAAACTCGCTTTTTTAATTCAATGCATTACGTTGTGTGAATGCAATATTTGTAGTTAAAATGACTCAAGAATCAATCTCAAAGCATTAAAATCTTTAAGAATTTTCTCCCCCAGAAATGGCAATATGGCCTAACCACTAAAAAAATCATGCGGCAATGAATGCTACAAAAATAAATTAACAATTTGCAAATAGCCGAAAAATTATATATTCTTAATTTTAGAAAGTTCTGGAGATTTGTAAACTGTTCATTTATTTCTATGTCGCTTTAGTCATAATACTTAATCATGTTTACGAAAAATACTTAATACACTTAATAAACATATTCATACATTCAAGTTTAATTTCAAATTATTTTATGCCTATAAAACTTTATTACAAAGCATAACTTCGCTTAGCTTCTTATTTTATTCTTAGCCCTTGAAATGCTTTACCCGCATTATTCAGTGGCCTACGTCACGTACATGTCAAAAACACCGACAGGCTACCAGCTTGGTGCTAATTTTATTTTGTAATATGTAATTTATATTATAAATATAATCTCTAGTTTGAATAAATTAACACATTTCCTTACCTGCTTTTCCAATTACTTAATTCTTCTCTTCTAACTTGTAAGTTAGAAAGTTTATTCAACTTTGTTACCAAGAATTTTTGAATTAAATTACAACTTTCAATTAATCTTTCGTTCAGATACTGAGATAGTTCTAAGTTAAGCCTGTAGACTAGGCTTTAGCTAATTTTAAAATGAGGTGGAAGAACTGCTGATAGTACGATACGTTTCCTGTATTGGAGCTATATTTTATTTTTAGACCTAAACTCTAATCTACTAGTACTAGTAGGCGAGATCCTTTCGTCACCTCAGATATTAATACTTTTTTATACATTTTCTGAAAATATTGTCAATCATATAAACACTTAAAATATATTAATTATATATCTGGCATCAAATTCTCAACCTAAACACTGAAACAGGCCTTCGTAAGGCAAAACCTCAACGTTCTCCCTATCAACTTCCTCCTAAACCTTGAATGCTGAATCGAAATATTCGCCTCGACTAGTCTGATTCTAAGGGCAAATCAATACAAATGCGCATGCGTTTTGATTGTGGTATTTACTACGCGTACCTTGTGCAACAAGATCACGTCAAGGAAATCACGTGACTACTGCCTTATTCGAGCATGTACGACACCGTTCACTTCAAGAAGTTAACGTTTTTCTAGAGAATATTCTCGTAAGGTAAACGATTTAAACGCAGAAAGCTGTTAAAATAAGAGAAACCAATACGCCTAATATTTGTGGTAGAAATCACGCAGACTGTGCTTTGTTCACATTCCTTTGAATTGTTCATTTCATTTACCACAGATATTAGGGGCATCGATTCTAGTAAGATAAAATGTGACATAACTAGCTTATGATAATTTATAAAAATAAGGAGAAACTACAAATCATAGAACAACATGAAAAAGATTCGTAAATCAGTTACATAATTTAGCGCAAATATGCTTAACATTATTATTACTTAAAAGTAGCATGGCTTCGTTTACCGAGATATATAAACCAACAGATCTTGATCCAAAGATTGCAGTAGACTGGCAAGAATATCTTTCGTGTATTTTAGTTTTAGCAATTTCTGCTTTGCTAACATGAATAAAATACTATAAATTATAAAAAAAACACAATTTCTAGTGTTTAAGAACATATCTATTCTCTGCATGAGGTACTACAAAGTCTGATTTAAATATTTAATTTTTTTGTATTAAGTAACACAGTTTACACATGTAAAATTATAAAGGTAGGTGTTAAAGCAACTGCCATTCCTACTATCTTGTTTGCATTGTTTTTGAAGGATTGTCATTAGCCATCCCTACTTTTACTTCCTTTTTTGAAAAGTTTTTTTTTCTTTACTTGTTTGCTTGTTGTTTTTTTAATGCAGTGTTTCAATAGACATAGGAAGGTTGTATTTATAACCAAATTCTAAATACAACGAGGTTACAACTGTAATATTTATTGTTTATCTATTATTGGCTGGTAATTCCTGTTTCGCCCTGTATTTAAGTTTTTTAAAGGAACACCAAATTTCTGTAAGAAACCTAACTTTAAGGGGTAATGATAACATTGTTTACGCTAGAATTATGATTTTTTTAATTACTACTAGTTATTAATAATACTTATAAAAACGGATACTCCGTTTGAAACTATGTCACCTCAGTGAAATTGGTCGACACCATTGTTTTGAAAGAAGAACAAGAAATACAAACTTTTTGCTATGATATTTACAGACGTTCCCAGAAATCAGTCATTACATAGATATTGTTATAAAAGTAAACACTGTATAGTACTGTAAAGTTCTGATGACCTATTGAAGAGATATTCAAAATGTCATTTCAATGAACAATCGGAGCCATCCCTACATAGACGCTGCTTCCGCCTGCCTGATAAACTGACAAAATAATTCAATTAAAAAAGATTACCGTCCTAAGTGGCTCAGCATTAAGTTTGTAGGCTCATAACGCTATAAATCAGATTTCGATACCTGTGGTGGGTATAGCGCAGATAGCTCATTTTGTAGCTTCGTGCTAAACAGCAAAACAAACAAACAAAAATGTCCGAGCATAAAAAATATATTAATTTACCAAATTGACTTTAAACTATATTGTGGTCAAAAGAAATCATATTTCCCTTTTCTAGAAATAACTTTGACGTATCATGCTAACTTAAGCAAGCAATAGTAGACTTCATAAACGGAAAAAAAAAACATAACAAAACAAAAAATACACTTCTTTTCATAAACATTAATTTTGTTTAGTTTGCCCTCATGAATTTGGGAGAAAAAAAATGTTCCCTTTGTGTAAAACACCAATTAATGTTTTAGTTGCTTTGACCACCACGGGCATCGAAACCCGGTTTTCAATGTTATAAGCTCTTAGGCTTACTGCTTAGCCATTGGTGGGCTTGAAGTGGCATAAAAAATAACTTAGGATTTTGGAAGATGCCGCAAGAAAGTTTTCGTAATTTATTGTAATAAATTTTTAGTAAATGGAAATTTATAAGAGAAACTATTAGTGAGCGATAACTTATGAGAAACGAAGGAAAACGTGTGAACATTAGTAGCGACTTACTTTATCAAGTGTTGGAAACGTGACTGTTTGTAACTACATTACGTTTTTCCTTATACTGAAGAAATGAAACGCCAGAAATTTGCCTCTATCAATAGTTTCGTTTCGAGGTTACTTACTGATTATAAGTATTATTTTTATTACAAGTTAGAGCTTTCATAGCAAGGAAGAGATTTTTGAAATAGGTACGACGTTTCAGTCACTTTTGTACTTGAGAATGATCGCACCAGTGATCGAAACGTCGTATCTGTTTTAAAAATTTTCTTTCTTACTGTAAAAACTGTAACTTTTAATAAAATAATTTGCCATTGTGTTGAAATTACAGTTTGTTACTGCATATAAGTAAATTTAGAGTATTTTAACTGTTCTAATAAGCCATCAGAGTTCATTTCACAGCTACAAAATCTGACACCCAAAATAGACCAGCTGCAGGAAAACTAACAAATTTGCCATGCCGTAACCATCTCCCATCCTTTTCACCCACGGCCCAGAAATTTCACCCAAATGTCTATTCCAGTCACCACGCCCACAACTCGTGGAGTTCAAAGATATCCACGATTACATAGTTTGTGTAGCCACGCTTTCCCTAGCTGAAAATACCACAGTTATTGTGTAGCCACGCTTTCCCTAGCTGAAAATACCACAGTTATTGTGTAGCCACGCTTTCCCTAGCTGAAAATACCACAGTTATTGTGTAGCCACGCTTTCCCTAGCTGAAAATACCACAGTTATTGTGTAGCCACGCTTTCCCTAGCTGAAAATACCGCAACTACGTATGCGCAATGGCCTTCACATCTCGAGCTAAATAATTCGTTTTTACAGGATGTAGAAATAAGAAATACATTATAATAGTAAATTATTGCTACAAGTATAATAGGCCCAAATCCGAAATCATTTTGGATTTGGTTTGTTTGTTTGTTTTTAATTATGCACAAAGCTATACAAGGGTTATCTGTGCTCGCCCATCACGGATATCAAAACCCGGTTTCTAGCGTTGTAAGTCCGCAGACATCCCGCTGTGCCACTGGGGGCGGTGGGCTTTGGATTTGGAAAAAATAAAAGGAAAAAGACCAGGCTACAACCTGAAAGCGGTGTTTGAATTGAGGGGGGGGGGAGAAAGAGGAATGTCTTTTGTGTTTGTTAACATAAATATTAATTTTTTTACCCTTGTTAACAAAAATCATGATTTAGCCGAAGCCTAAAAATGGAAGCACACGTGTACAGCTACAGTTGCACTGGTTCTTCCCGTACCAAATTTTATCTACATCAAACAAAGGTGGTTTTCGCTTGCTCCTAATATACATGTATGATTACGCAAAGTTATTGTTAAGTCTTAATTTCGATCTAATTAATGACTGATCAGTGAGGTAATCACATTCACGACATATTTGAATACGTATATGTATGAGAATACCGGAATAGTGTACGCTTCTTTCGTTATATTTATGGAGTTCCCTTTGTTAACTGCTTACATATCGAGTGCCCCTAATAAAACAAATTAACCTATAGGAAAGATTAGAAGTAACCCATGTCCCGATCGCTTACCAAGAGCTCGTCTTGAGAGAGGTTCAAGAGTAGAATGAAGGCAGAAACACACTCACTAGTTATAACGACGCCGTGGAATGTTTTCCTCAGCTTCCCTCACAGAAGTGATCTAAAACATCATGAATTCGCTGGCGCCTGATCGACTCATCGATCCTCTTAAGACGAAAACAAGCGCATCAGACTGAATCAAAGTAAGTCCGCTGCTTTCAGAGAATTTCTTCAACTCTCTGTGAAACAGGAATTTACACCCACAACATTTATTTCTTCGTTAAGTGGAAATGAGTTATATTTTATCCAGACTTAACTACTTGTTTAATGTACACACATATTCTTAATATTGGCCCCATTTAACGAAACAATTTACGACTGGAGGCGTTAGTGTTACTCACATTATCTTTTAGCATGCTATGCGCGCCACAATGGCACAGTGGTATGTCTGCGGACTTATAACGCTAGAATCCTGGTTTCGATACCTGTGTGGTGGGCAGAGCACAGATAGCCCATTGTGTAGCTTTGTGCTTAATTACAAACAAAGCCTGCTATGCTATTAGAGGGGGTTAAACAATTTTGCGCCTGAAGAATATTTCATTACTCCAATCGGGGAGGGGAGGGGGCAGAAAATTAAAAAGCTGAAATTGATCTAAGTATTTAATAAAATAATCCTTAAAACAAATCAAATGTAATAGTGTTTATATAAGTTTTATTTCTTTTATTAAATGATACAAAACTAGTTTATTATATATAAAAGCTGAAAAATAATATCTGATCAGTATGCCAAGATTTTTCAGGGGGTTGCCGACCCCCCTGGCTACGCCTCTGTTAGTCTACCTCTTTCCTCAGCATGTTTTCACTAATTTCGGTATAAGTCACTGAAGCAAATTTTCTTTATGTTCAACCGTTAATTCTATTGAGCGTGAGGGATTTAGATTTTAAATTAACATTTTTATTTTTAAAACCATGCTGTACCTTAATATTTTTTTCTGAAAAGCCAAAGCTTCTAATTGTCTGTTTAACATATCCTCTCACATGGGTGTTGTTCTCCAGTGGGACAACGGTAAATCTAGGGACTTTCAACGCTAAAATCCGGAGTTCTATTCCCTGCTGTGGACACAGCAGATAGCCCAATGCGGCTTTGCTCTAAAAACACAAACAAACGGACAAATGGGTGTTTCACGAGTTTTTACATTCAGTCATCTCCTGTGCAAATGTTATGTGAATCTCATTAACTTAATCTCTCCATATATACTTCGTCTGCAACTCAAGTATACATATGCTTTTCACTCCTCATAACCCCCCAGTGGCACAGCGGTATGTCTGCGCTAGAAAACGGATTTCGATACCCGTGATGGGAAGAGCATAGATAAGCCATTGTGTAGCTTTGTGCTTAACTTCAAAACAAACAAA